CAACATGTTGCAAGATTTAGGTGTACAAAACTATTACACTCTGAGCAACATGTTGCAAGAGTGTAAAAATTATCATTAAGGGTATAAAGGGAGTAAAATTTTCTCTCATTTTCAAAATATTTTGCTAAGAAAACTAATAAATTATAACGATTCGCACAATAAATTTGCAAATATATGTATGTCTGTGACAGAACCAGTTAGTTTAAATTATCGTGAGTTTACAATAAATAAATTAAACTATTTTTCTATTTCCTAATAAATATAAACATATTCTTAATTAATACACGAATAGCTGTCTGGTTGTAGTTTTTTCTTTAGATATTTCTTATCAAATAGCTAGAGTGCAAATAATGGCTGTTAATTACTTAGAAGGCCAATAAAGACCGATCTTTATGGCGATTGTCAGTTTATGTCAACTACAAAACTAATAAAAAAAAAAGCACTTGCTCTTTCTTAGCCTTCATATGTATTTAAGCATATCCATGACAATTTTCGAAATATGCCATTATTCCCTGCATTTATATCACATTGGTAAATATTTATGAATGAACATGAGGTGCAATATAGGAACCCACACAAAGCAAACAATGACAACTAGCTAATCTACTGCTAAGCGAAACTCTGTCGAACGCTCAATCGCTCATAAAGTAGCACTCACACTCATTAGATGAGAAATAAGAAAGTTTTTCTATTCAACAATGGGGCAAGGAATGTTACCGCTGAATATTAAGTGTGAATTTGCTCGTCTATTAAAGCGCGGCATTTGGCCAAGAACATGTTAGTATAGCGAGTGGCACAAAACGTTCCGGTGTGAGTTGTTCGAAGCTGTTGTAGATATAAAAATAAAACAAAAAAATAAGGAAATTATAAAAATGCTTATAAAAAATCCGAACAATATTTTTGTGCCCGATTATTTGGATGAGAACTTTTTCGTGGCCGCGCTCGAGGAAGGTTTGCGTGAAATCCAGCTGACGATAAATGAAATAACTTTCGAATGGGGCACTAATCCCGGTGATAATTACTGCTCACGCATCTATCGCGTCTCAGTCGCTTATGAGCGTCTAGCTGATGACGATGAGCCGCCGGTACAAGAGCAACGATCGTTAATCGTCAAAAGTATACCGATTTCGAAAGAGACACGTTTCCTTGAAGATGTAGGTGTTTTTCTGAAGGAGAAATTGGCCTACTTGGATGTATTGCCACGTCTACAAATACTTGTAGACGGTCCGAAATTTGGTGCCACGTTAGTATACCCAATAAAAATCCGGAAAATTTAAATTTTTTTATAAATCGAATGTTTTTAAATGTGTTGAGATATTTTTCGGATATTCTGAATTATAATTAGGTTTTATTTTTTTGGAATTCTGCTCAGCTGCCTTTATGCAGTCAAAGCACCCACTCGCACCATTGTCTTTACTGACTTAAAACCCGAAGGTTTTGTGGTTGCCTCGCGACAGGACCAGCTCGATTGGGCACACTGTGAATTGATCTTGCAACAAACGGCGCGCCTGCATGCCACGTCAATGATTTTAGCCCAGCGTGTAAGTATATTGAGGTAATCATTTTTTATATCATTACTGCTTTATAAGTAGTATCAATATCGTTTGTTCAACAAAAAACATCTGTAGGATCCCAAAAATTAAGGCTTTCAAGGATAATATGAATTTAAATGTGGGACTAATTATTCAAGCCTAAATATTTCTCATCACGGCTTGAAGTTTTTAGTATTGATTTCAACTACATTTTATAATGTTTGCTTTCGCTTCGGATACAGCAAAGTTTTCGGGCTACTTTTGAAAAACTAATAAATGGCAAAAGGTTGTTACATAATTTATTTAGTCATAATATAATATTCATCTTATTCAACTATATTTAACACGCATTTAGATCTTGCATTAGAATTTTGTAAATTGAATGCAAATTATTTTGGAACATTGTGACAAACTACATATATATAAATATATATGTATGCTTATTATCTATAGGATCCCGATATCGCCAAGCGCATGGTCGACGGTATGCTGTGCAAGAAGACAGTGATAAAAAGTGATCTTTTCAAAAATATGGCTGGCAGTAGCTTGAAACATCTGGCCTACAATGCAGCCAAATGGCCCGGATTTGAAAAGATCGCACAAAAATTGCACTATTTTCACGATAATTTCAAGCCCATATGCGCACACTTAGCCGATCGTCGTGAGGGCGATCGTATCATTGTGATGAATCATGGTGATCTCTGGACAACAAATTTCATGTACGCTTATGATGATCCCAAGCAACCTGCGAAGCCAACGCGCGCTATTTTTGTAAGTTTCACTTAAATTCAAAAATGTTTTTTCTGAAAATAAAAATAAAATTAATAATTATTAATGAAAATTAATTCATCAATGTTTTGTGAACTTTCAGGTGGATTTCCAACTTAATTTCTATGGCAGTCCTGCCTGCGATCTCAACTTCTTTTTTAACACTAGCGTACGTCTAAATGTGCTGAAGGATCGACGAGACGATCTCATAAATGCGTATTATAAAACATTCAAGGAGACGTTGGAATTCCTTCATTACGAGAATATACCGACTTTAGAAGATTTAAAATACGAATTGCGTGCTCGTGAACTTTACGGGCTTTTCGCTTTGTTCGGTTTTCTGCCCATAATTACTATGCCAAAGGAGCTATCTGAAGATAGCAGTTTTGAAAGTTTCTTTGATATTGAATCTGTTCGTCTGAAATACCAAAAAGTATTTGCACAAGAACATTTGCAAGCGCAGCTAAAGTATGGACTTAAGCGCTTAGAGGATATGGGTGTGTTCGACGAGTTTTAGTTTCGATTAAAAATTTAGTTGAACAACATTCTGGATGCTGCGACCATGTAAATATGTAAATATTAACATAGATCACTTAGTCATGATCCCATTAAAAAATGTATGCTAGGTCTATGTGTAAAAATAATTTCATCTAAAATATGTACATATGTATTATGTGTAAGCAAATAGTACAAATAAACGAAACATTTTCTACCGTCTCTGACTGAGTAATAATTTCTTAGATACAGACTTGATAACTTATGCACTTGTGTCCCACTTTTATTGTCACTCAAATCTTTCGCGTTTTTCTCGAAACTGTCTTTTTGAAGTCGGCTGGCAAGATTTCTCGAGAACTACTCAATCGATCTTTTAAAATGTTACCCACATTTTTGAGATACAATGTATAAAGACTTGGGCAAACGATTTTCTTTTCAATTATAACTATATGAAAATAAAATGTAGAGAAATTTTCACTGAAATTTTAATTTTTTTGCAAAATAGTCTGCCAAAAATGCAGTTTTCAATTCTTTTTTTTTTATTCCAAGTTATAACTTAAGGTTTTAACTAAAACGCGTATTTTTCACTTTAGATGATCCTGTAAGGTTTTATATTGTCACCGGAAATGGCGTCGCAATGGCCGAGTTTAAAATATTATTTTTTTCAAAAATTTCAGACTTTCTTTATTAATACTGCATGTTTATAACAGTAAAAAAATTCGAATAAAATATTTAATTTTTTATATGAGAAAAAAATTGTTGAAAAAAAGCTGTTTTTAGCCCGAGGAAATCCAGGTAACCACTTAACAAGTAGTTAAAAACTATTATGACACAACGTGGAAGTATCTGCCATACGAAACACTTATTTAGATCTTGAATTTATTTGGTAAATTTAGAAAAGTTTCGAAGCAAATTACTATTGATCTTCAAAATTTTTTTCAATAACAAAATGCTTGGGAGAGTCTGAATTAGAAGCTTCAAAAAATCGATTTTTTTTTGCTTACATCTCTTTAAAAGTAATCTAAGAATATGTCCTCAAAGTTTTAGATGAGAACTTGAAATATTCTCGAAGCTAAAAGTAAAATAGTGACCGAGCGTCTAGCAGATATATGAGCGAATGGGCGCGATTTCTCGGTTTTTCATAATTCGTATTTTTCTTAATTGGCGGGCAGGATAGGAAAAAAAACTAAACGTCGTATGGAATTGGGGCAAAGTTTATTTTCTATGGCATTAAATTGTCTTCTAGTTAATCTGAAAAAAACTGAGAAATGCCACGTTTGGACATATTTTTAAACAACATAAAGTAAATTTTTTTTGGTCGAAAATTTTTAAAAGATTAACTTAATAATTTAATAATTAATTTTTAGAAAATTTCAAAAATTTTACATTTATTTTTTGGAATTTTTTTAGTTTAACCAGAAAATAAATTATTAAAAAATATGGCTCTCTTTGAATTTTTCGTTTCCGATAGAAATTGCGAACTGCATCCTGCCCGCCGTCCGACAAATGCACATGCGAGATGCATCGGGCAATTGCTTCCCAAAGGCGGAATATCAAAGATTTCGTATCCAAAAAAAATTGTGAATGATGCTTAAATATATAACTAGAAACCCTAGAAATTTCGCTTTAATCAATTATTTCTTTCCTTCCCTAAAAAAACTGATTTTTGAAACCTCTACACCAAGCTCCTCCTTTAAAGAAATATAACACTTTCGCTGATGCCGCAGCATTGCAATTGTAAAATTTTTAGATATCGTAAAATGAATATCCGCCAAAATTCTCGTTTGGTTTGATGCAATCACCAAACAAAAAATTTTTGACATCTGCCAGTTGCTTGCATTGCAACGACCTGATTAATAAAACAGATTCTTGCTATAAAAATAGAATCAAAGCAATTCACAATATCCGACTTATGGGCTTAATACTCAAGCTACCCTCGATGATGTATTAACTTTGATTAGAAATGTCAATCAGAGTATGAGTATATGCACTCGAACTCTGCATAATAAACGGATTGTGCCTACCCAAAGCCGACACGACTCATCAATTGAAACCAATTAAACCGACAAATGGATTGTGCTCTAACTTGCGGAAAGATACTAGATGTACAGATTTACAGATTTTATAAATCTACAATACAAAAGATTTTATATAAAAATGGAAACCAAACATAGGAAAATTAATAGTTTCAATTGAAAAGTGTTACAGTGCGGTTGCTTCGAAAACACTGGACGGAATGGCGACTTTTGCGATCGGCGAAATACCCAACTACTTCAATATGGAGTTCTTCAAACGAGCGCTAGAGAATGGTTTGCGTATGGGCGATCTTAAAATATTGGGCATATCCATTGAGAATCTAACAATGGGTGGCGAAAATTACTGCAGTAACATATTTCGGGCGACTATTAAGTACAAAACCAGCGAGGATCAGCAAACTGAACAGACGATAATAGTAAAAAATATGCCGAAACAAAAGCAAAGTGTACTTAATCGTTTGAATATCTATCGTAAGGAGACCATCTTCTATTTGGATATCAAACCTAAAATGGAAGCGCTCATGTGGTACTTGGATAAGCCATGGAGTCTAGCAGCTAGGTTGTATTCATAATTTCTATGGAGGGTAAAGACAAATTGAAATTTCTTCCCTGCTTTTAGGCACTTTCACTCAACCACCGAGCCGGAGCAGAATATTATGTTCGAAGATCTAAGTATGCTGGGCTTTATGTTGGAGAGTCGACAAGTAGGACTTGACTTGGCGCATGCGCAAATTGTGATGCAAAAGTTGGGTGAATACCATGCACTTACTATGCTGATGGCAGACAGGGTAAATATCAAGCAAAAATATCTAACACATACCATAAATATTCCTCTTTTAATTCTAAAATATATTTGCACACTCGCTTATTTGAACACCCGCTTTAGTCACCTGCGATTATTATCGACCATTTTGCCTTTGGACTTTTGAATAAAGACTCAATCAAGAAGGAAGCTTTCAAAGCTTTATTTGGTGCACAGCTCTTAAAGCTCGCTACACTTGTTGCCGAATACCCCACAATGGAGCTGATATCAAAGAAATTATTGAAATATTACGATCATTTCACGGAACGCGTGCTGCAGTCCGTCTATCCGTTACGGGGTAATGTGAATGTATTAAATCATGGCGACTTGTGGGTAAATAATATGTTCTTCAAATACGACTGTAACTCAACAAAATTTAAAGCGCCGAGCGAAGTTAGATTTGTAAGTTTTACTTATCGTATCTTTAAAGTGATTCTTAAATTGCAAACGCTCCAAATTGCAGATCGATTTTCAGTTGTGTTATTACGGCAGCATTGGATTCGATATCAATTATTTTTTGAACACCAGTATTCAACTAGATGTATTGAAAAATCATCGTGGATCCTTGATTGAAACATATTATGACGGTTTAGTGCGAACCCTGAAAGCTTTGCCTTACAATAATCCAATACCCAAACTCACCGATATTTTGGAGGAGATTGCTCAGCGTGAAAGTTTCGGCTTCTTCGTTGCATTCGGATTCTTTCCGTTAATGTCCATGTTCACAATGGACTCACAGGATAATTCTTTAGAGAAATTCTATGATGAGGAATTCGCTCGTCGCAAAATCGAGTTAATGTTTCAAAGTAATCCACGGACGATGGAGACACTGAAATATTCTCTAGAGCGTTTCGATGATTTGAAGGTTTTGGATTGACTCTATAATTGTACGTGAATTGTTTTAGTTATTAAACCTGTATTTTCCACAATTAAAGACAGACTTTATTTGCTTTTTGTTCTACAATAACTTAGTAGTTGTAGTAACACCTTTTTATCCGATATCAATTTAGCGAATAGTATATTTGCTTTTATTTAGTATATTTACAGAAATTTAATCGCGTTCTCCAAATCGCTAAGTCTAAGTTTTTGGTAGATTCAATTAAAGTTTAGTAACGGCTTACGAAGTTAAAGAAATGAAAATTTGTCCGTATTATTTCCTTTTTTTGAATTTATATTCTGTTATATTATTTCCTTCGAATTCGCATTTCCGAATTGAAAGGCAATTGCTCCCAGAAGAAGGCCAGCGTGCAGCAGCGGGGTACAACAACCGTCCCATGCTCTCGCCTGCGGTTACGGCGTTCGTTGCCCATCAGCTAGTCGCATCAGTAAAAAGGTTACATAGCAGCTGCTGAACTAGCGCTTAGAAGGCTAAGCAGCTGACAGACCGCTTCGAGCTCACCTAATACAAACCTTGTTCGGGGCAAAGCGATGCGAAACTGTGTAAACAAAGCGAACTGTGTTGCATTTGGTGCTTTGTTGCATGCAACATTAGCATGTCGTTGTTTTAAGTGAATGTTGCTACCAAATGTATGGATGTAAACTACTGGCATAGCAGAAGCGATGAGCTCATACAGATTGTGTTGACAAAATTTGAACGTGACCAAACGGTAGCAAAGTAAACTACATACCTGAAACATTGGCGAGCATACAGTACAACAACAATGCTCAAAGCAGTTCTAGTTGCGAAACACAGTGTTTAAGTTTTCGATATTTGTGGCAAATATTATCGACAAAACAGAAGTTCTCAAAGCTTTCTCCGTATCTCAGCTTTCCGATAGATTTCCGTTTCCCGTGAGGTTCAGACAGCTATTAGTAAAACGCATGAAAACAGGCTCAACCTTGGGTTTGCGTTCTTGCAAGCCCCTGAGTCTTGTAGTTCCCAGCAATTTTCTTATAACCAAAGGTTTCCAATTCAGAGCTTAGGCTCTACTGTTATCATAACCATATCGCCATAGTTCTTTAGCTTGAACTAAACTTAAGAAAGTAGGGATTTGAAATGTAAAAATATTTTACTCCACAGCAAGTTTTGCCTAGAATATCCCTCACCCAAAAAGCATTGAAACAAATAAAAAGAAGAAAATGTTAAAATAAAATGATTGGGGAGGGGATGAAGTCGGACCCGTTTTGGTGCCATGTGCGCGACCCGAAACTGCAGTCTGCATGTACAAACATATTTGAACAGCGCCAACATCCCCCGCAGCCAACCCACCCGCTACCCCAGTACATATGTAACTCCCAGCCATCCAAAGCACGGCACCAGAAAGCCAACCACAACCACAAAGCAACGACAGCGGGGAACGCAAATCGAATCGAATTCAAAAGAAATGCTTCATGCCACGTACCAAGCTTGGGCATTTAACAGATTGCGCTGATTGCCGCAGTACACAACAGGAACAACAACCATAATGGAGAAAAGTGCCAACAACAATAATAACATCGAACTGAAGATCTATAAAGTGATTGCAACAGGAACGACAATTTCACATTCGAAAGTGGCAACAATAGGTGGCGACAGTGGTAACAGCAGTAGCCGACGTCCGCAAATGTTTTCGCCTGTTTAGACGGCATTCGGTCGGGCAAAGTTTGTTGCCAATCTTACCTGGTGCTCTCGTACACTTGTGGAGTCGTTGGTGCATAGTTTTTATGTTGCAACATACGTACCTTTACCACCCTCACACAATGTAAACATGGCACAATACACGACTGTGCAAACAACAACCACAACAACGGCAAACAGTAGCAATACGGCTAGTCAAAACAAAAGCAAGCAGTGATGGCCATCGTTTGACACAGTAGCCGAGGAATCCAGCTGAGTCCTTGTCGTCGCGACAAGCCACGCTCTGACCGAAGTGGCAGAGCTATTCTGGGTCGGATCATAACCGTTGGAAATGTATCCAGCTGCGTCACATACTGACGGAGCAGCTGCGCATAGCATATACTCATTTCACTTTGGCATCGATGATAACGTTGAATTGCAAGCGGATTCATCATTTACACCGTTACAGTGGGTTGATACAAAGATAAGAAAGGTGTGGAATGGTATGCACAGGCCACCTTATAATCGTGTGTTCTCATAAACTTTTTTCACTCAAAAAGGTCGTGTCCCACCGAACAAAATTCTTGAAATATTGCAATGGAACCTCTATATATAATTGAATGGAGTATTGAGACTTATGGCCAATTCACAAAGAAATTTTGCTTCGCCTTACTTCAGACATATGTTTTGACAGAAAAATTGGGGAAACTCTCAGATTTTATGCTTCGCCAAGCAACAGTCGTTCTAGTATGAACTATCACGCAAAGCGATTGATCTAATTGATAAGATAACCGAAATATAATATATGGTAGTTTGTTCTAAATACCCAAATATATATACTAAATAACAGTTTTTTTCAATTGCGGTTTGTGCCTTGATGTGATGATGTATGGGATTGAAAATTCATTATAAAATTCGTAGTTGCTTGCTGAGCTTAATGATATTTGTCGGAACAGAAACAAAACCACAAAGAACAACATCATAAGCGTAGATTTTCACCCGACATCAGCGTTTCTCGAGTACTTTAAGTAGACCGTTAACCAATAAGATTCAATGCAGTGGAGAAAGTACCCTGCTGCGTGGCCCCACTAAGTATCGGAATGTCTTTGCACTACCCCACTCTGCTATGACCGTTTTGTCGTATAGTCCGAATAGTACATATGATGTGCTTGAGGTTCGATTCAAACTTTTTCCTGCATTCGCCCGCACATAGTTGAAGGCTCCCCACCTGTAGTCATGTCTAGAAGCCATTCACTTGGGAGTGCCCATACACGATTGTTTTGCTCAAGCAAACTCACGACTCAAGCAGCTCACGACTTTCAGTCTTTGACCAAGTATTCTCTGGTTAGCCAAATAGCATCCGTTTGAAGGCGAGCTAAAGTGAGAAGGCGAAGGTTAGGGACCCGGCCACATAATAAACCACTCAATAAAAAATTACCAACAGCCTCGGATGAGAGACCCCCTTTTGATGACGACCATATCAAACACATTAAGGATTACGATTTGAGGACATGCACCTGGAATATCCGGTTCCTTAAATGGGAAGATGCCTCTGCCTAGATGTTTAATGTCCTCGTGAAAATAAAGGCTGACATCACTGCGATCCAAGAAATTTGCTGGCCATATAAAGGAATGCAAATTCGGGTGGGACTCGTGATCGCCGAGTCATGGCATTCACCTGATGGATAAACGTCTATCCACAATCCGCATCAAAGCAAAGTTATTCAACATATAGGTAATTTCCGCCCACGGCACGACGGAAGAGAAGGACGATGTGACCATAGATGCCTTCTATGAGCGCTAGGGGCGGACCTATGAACCCGCCACTATGTCAAAATCGTACTTGGCGACTTTAACGCCAGGGCGGACAAAGAAGATATATTTGGCACAACGGTCGGGAAATTCAGCCTCCATGAGGAAACATTCCCAAATGGGTTGAGGCTGATTGAATTTGCCGGGGCTAGAAATATGGTTGTCTGTAGTACTAGATTCCAATATAAGAATATTCATCAAGGTACCAACCAGTTCGATCATGATGTGATAGACTCAAGACATGTCTCCAGTGTTTTCGACGTGCGTACGCTCCGAGGTCCTAACATCGACTAGGACCGCTATCTTGTTGCAGTTCAACGGTAATACGTATATTTTTTATAAATCGACGACAAAAGTCCAATGTAGAAGATCTATGTTATATTACGAGAAGTTGGCTCTGCTTGAGTTCTATACTTAAATGAAGCGGGATCAAATGGTGGACATGTATAGGAGTAGTATATCGAACCGACCGTTTTATCCTGTGAGACGCCACAGTAAAATCAAGTAAAGTGTCATAGATTCCCAGCAAAGCCTTATTATATTTATTTCTCTATTTGAGACTGTAAGGTTGAAAGAACATAAATAACACAACCGACATTTTATTAAAAAACTAACATTTTATTACAAAAAATTAAACATCACGCTATCTTAAGAATCGGCCAAACGCAAAGTAAATAAAGTAATATATCTTTATAATACTTTCTTAAATATAAGAACCCCAGCCAATGTACATGGCAGCCAGATTATCAATACTAGTAGCTTCTGCTATCAAAAAATTCACTTGACCTTCGGTTGACAACGGCATGCTGTTTGCTTGCGTTCGCTTCACCTGTAGAAATTTTTATTTATTAATAATAATAATATATAATTGTGATGACGTACATAGCCCTGCAGTCTTTCTTCGATGCGACGCACATCCATCAAAGCCTTGGGATCGGTCAACTCCAGTGATGGTTTGGTCTTACCGCTGAAACTACGGTTCAGCGCCACAAGATCATAAACGAACGGTCGCAGAACTGACATTAAAGTTTTCGACTGCTTTTTCAGCACACGCATTGTTATCTCACAACAGCGTCGGTACATGCCTTCAACGCCCAATGGTCCCATAGCATAGACCATGTTGTGGGTGAGGCGGAAGGGCACTAATTCTGGGTAGGCAAAGAGCTCGCCCTGGTTGAAGAGACAATTGAAATCGACATGCACCGCATCACCAGTCGTCTCATCGAAGAGCAAGTTTTCACCATGGCGATCACCCAACCCAAGAATATAGCCCACCATAGACATAACGGCAACAGTTTTGACGTAAGCGCAACGTGCTTCATACCAACTGTTGGGCGTGCAAAAGCGTCGACGTAACCACTCCTGGAAAACAGGCGGATGGGCGGGCAACAGCGTGCCTAGAAACACGCTACGTTTCTTTTCTATTGGATCCGTTCGAGGCAACGCACACTGACGCAGCATACGATCGGGTAGTCCCAAGCCGCGCATGCGATAAACCGAGTTGCAAATAGCGCGGAAGGAGTTCAACTTTGGCAGCCACTCCACCAGACCGCATTCTTCATTAAATGGAATGGCAGCGTA